CCTCCTTGGCATAAAGGAAGCCTCGGGAGAGGCTTCAATGGTGACATGTGGCCTGGAGGGGGTGGCTGGGCCAGGAATGGATCCCCTCTCTGTGGGGACTAGAACCTGAGATGACATCCCAGCCACCTGCCCTCAGCGCATCAGCTGGCACAGACAGACCATGCCCTCAGCCTGCCCTGATAAAAAGGTAGGTAGGGAAGGTGAGAGACAGCTACCCAGCCCTCAGAGGCAGACTGGAGGTGATGAATGGCCCAATTAGATTGGGTTCAAATCCTGGCTCTGCTGTTTACCTGGCTCACTTAATTCCTCTGAGCCTGTTTCCTCATCTGTAAAAGGAACAAATAAGGGCACCCACTCGATACGGTGCAATGAAGATTAGGTAAAGAACTGTAAGGAAAGTACTCAGCACAGTCCCAGCCATTGGGCAAAGACTTGGAAGTCCCAAACCCCTCTGGGATGGGTGCCCTTCCCTCCCCTTTGCTCTGAAATCCAAGTGCTCAGCAGGGCACCTGACATAAGATGTGAAACCTGCTACCATGTACCGAGTGCCTCCTGTGTGCCAGGCACAGTGATATAGCATTCCTAAGCCTTACAACATCCTTCCCAACGATGTGCTATTATCCCCATTTTGTAGATGAAAATGTGAGGGCTTAGAGATGTGAGGGGACTTGTCCAAGGACACACAGGTTATAAATGATGATGCCAGGATCTGACTTCAATCTTGGGACCTAAAGGACCATGCAATTCGGCCCGTCACATCAGGAAAAGCTTCACAAAGGAGCTGATATTTGAACTGAGCCTTGAAAGATAAATAGTCCTTGTCTAGGCTGAGATTCTCAATCAGGGGTGATTCTGACTCCTAGGGACATTTGGCAATGTCTGGAGAGATTTTTGGTTGCCACAACTGCGGGACAGGAGAGTCAGTGCTATTGGCATCTAGTGAGTAGAGGCCAGGGGTGCTGCTAAACATCCTACAATGCAAAGGACCCTTTCACCAACAATGATTTGATCCAAAATGCCAATGGTGCCAAGTATGATGTAACATAAAGCAGCTTTCATTTCTTGAGTGCTTTGCATGTAGTCAGGAACTCTGGTGGTGTAATGCCTAAGGCATTTGACTACTAACCAGAAGGCTGGCAGTTCAAACCCACCAGCCACTCCTTGGAAGGAAGGCTGGGCAATCTACCTCCATAGTGATAGCGCCTCAGAAACCCAAGGAGGGGTCTCTATGAGTAAGATCCGACTCCACGGCAGTGTGTTGCATTGTGTTTTGTGTTTTCATGTAGTGGTTAAGACATTTGGTTGCTAACCAAAATATTGGTAGTTCAAACCCACTAGCTACTCTGTAGAAGAAAGATGAGGCAGTCTGCTTCCATAAAGATTTACAACTTGGAAACCCAATGGGGGTCGCTATGAGTTGGAAGGCAGTGAGTTTATTTTTTTTGCTTTTTACTATGTGCCAAGTACAGTACTAAATTCTTAAAAAATATCATCTTATTTAATCCCAACCCCATTACTCCCAAGTAATGGTCCCAAGTGCCAATGAAGAACCTGAGGCTCAGAGATGGCAAGTAACTTTCCTGAGGTCACATAGCGAGTAAATGGCAGAGCCAGGATTGGAGCTGCATGAGTACAAAGCCAGAGCTCTTAATCCTTCTGCTCTGCTGCCTCCAGGATTTATAATAAATATAAAAGCTCCAGACGTCAGGACACTCCAGGCCAAGTTCAAGCCCAGCCACCTCTGGCTTTTTGAGGCCTTGGGCAAAGTCCCCTCCTTCCTCCATTGCCGTCTTCCCATCTGTCAAGTGAGGGTTGCACCAGACAATACCCAAGGCCCTGCCAGCTTTGAGTCTGTAATTCTGCAGGGCAGAGGCCCAAGCCCAGGCTCCTGCAGCCGGGCACACAGACCTACCAGGTTCTGGGGGAGGAGAGGGTGGGAAGGGTGAGCTCAGCCTCATTCCCAGAGCATAAATAGCTAATGAGCGCTGCCTCCCAGAAGGGAGAGGCAGGTGGGAGGTGGCCCAAACCCCACCCAGGAGTCTTATCCCCTCCGGAGTGAGGCAGGTTTCCCAGCCACCTCTTTGCCAAGCTCTGTGTCTCAGAGGCCCCAAAGCAAGGCCTCCTTTTCAGACAAGAGAGGTGGGTCTGGGCATCTATCCACCCAGCTGGGCACATGAGCTCTCACAGGTAAAGAGAGAAAGGATGGGAACACGTGCTGGCCCAGCCCCTACCGTTCGCCAGGCACCTTGAATAGCAGCTTCATCTTAGGTTCTCAGGGTAGCTTCATGATAATCCTGGTAGAGGGGAATCATTGTGACACCCATTTTAGAGATATACACGTCAAGGCTTGCTAAATGAAGCAACTTGCTGAGTTACATAGACAGTGATGAAGGCAGGTTCAGGACCCAGATTTGTCTGAGCCTAGAGCCAGGGCACTAGAGGGTAAGCAGCAGTCTTGTTTTGCTTTCCCCCCAGAAGTAAAAGTGTTTCAATAACGTTTGGAGAAGACATATGTTCAATTTCTCTTGCATTCCCTAGGATATAGAACGGAGTGCCAAAAAAAATAAATAAAACCTCAAAACACAATGACCCAGATTTTCTGGTTTGCAGACAGGAGAACCAAGGCTCTGAAGGCAGAGACCTCTCCAGTTAGAAAGTCAGGCAGGGCGAGAGGGTGAATGGCAGGGGAGAGAGCTGGCCTAGGTCAGGGCTGTGCTTTCTAGACCTGGTTCTTTCACTGGCAGTACAGCTGTGGTCTGCCACATCACTTCTCCCAATCTCAGTTTCCACATCTATATAATGAAGAAATTGGGCAAATGGTTTAGACATAGTCTCTTCAAACTCTTACAACCTGTACCCAGACATGTCAAAGGTTCTCTGTTCCTCCTTGTTTACACGACTTCACAGACGAGGAGATGGGGACACCAAGGAACTCTAGGGGTATATGGTTGATGCCAGCTTTGTGCAAGCCGGGAATGGATGATGCCAGAGCCCTTGACCATCATTCACCTCTTGATGGGGCCTCCACCTTCAGGAAGCCACACTGAATGGGAATCAGTCATGGTTTCAGGATGAAAGGGGACAGGAAGGGGGCAATGGTGAACAGGGGGTCATTTCTCCTGGGGCCAACATTCATCTCCATGGGTGTCTGCTAGATGTAGAAAGACTCACAAAGATTCAAATGTAAGGCTGAGGGAACCCCCATCACACTGGGGAAAGTAATTAATTTAGCTCCTGCTTAAGTATCTTGAAGGAGCTCTGGTAGCGTAGTGCCTAAGGCACTTGACTGTTAAGTAGAAGGCTGGCAGTTCAAACCCACCAGCCACTCCTCAGAAGGAAGGTTGGGCAATCTACTCCCATAGTGATACCGCCTCGGAAACCCAAGGAGGGGTCACAATGAGTCGGGTCCGACTGGACGGCACATAACAACAACAATAAGCATCTTGAAGACCAGAGAACTCACTACCTACCATGTTGACTCATTTCATTTTCATGAAATAAATATTTAAGTCAAGAACTTTCGCTTCCACATGTCCACAGTCCAGGCCAGCTCAGGCCAGGGTGGGTTGTTCAATAAACGTTATTGGTATATACTGTGGGCCAGGCCTTATGCGAGGCTTTGAGATCATAGATATGACGAATAGGAGACTTTCTCTGTCCTTAAGGCACTGATCCTATGCTGGTATCCCAAGGGCATGGATGCAGGGCTGCTGGATTTAAATATTCTAGCTATAGGGTAGGAGCTCTGGTAGTATAGTGCCTAAGGCACTTGACTGCTCACCAGAAGGCTGGCGGTTCAAACCCACCAGCCACTCCTCGGAAGGAAGGTTGGGCAATCCTACTTCTGTAGTGATACTGCCTTGGAAACCCAAGGAGGGGTCGCTATGAGTCGGGGCCGAGGAGCTGGCTTCCAGAGGGAAGGCTTCACAGGGAGGACATTTGAGCAGGGTCTTGAGGGTTGAGTACGAGTTCTTCAGTGATAACAGAAGGGTTTAAGAGAGACAGATTACAATCCTATGCCAACTATTCCCCAGTTATTCTACATGCCCTGTTTGACTTAGTGTTCAAAGGTCCTGATGTGATGACAGAGCTAAGGAGATCATCAAAAGTCCCCGGAGACTCCTAGAGAATCACCTCACCTCTGGGCCTTATTGTCCCAATCTGAAATCTTCAAGTTCTGACCCTGCTCACAAGCTGACCCCTACTCTGATTTAAACCCCAGTGTTACACCCTTTGAACGTGATCTCAGCCTTAAAAAACAAAACAAAACCCTCATATACTTTGGCCCAGTCTGAGCACCCAGACACTCCCTCTTAGTTTCCTGACCCTAACAGACCCTTCTTTCGAGTTTAACCCGGACCCTAACTTAGACCACCCCTCTCTCAGGCTTCACCCTGACCCCTCCCAGCACAATAAGGCCCTGGTACTACTCTTGACCTCTAGGTTCCGATGGAGGCCCCACCCCATCCTGCCCCCTAGCCTGCTAGAGCTCCTCAATTTCGCGCACGGCCCCGCCACCAGTCTAGCTCTGACGGTATTCCCATCTCCATTTCTGGAGACAGAGATGTCCTCCACTCCGCCCTGAACATTATGGTGCTGCACCTGACCCCAGGTCCAGCCCCCACGACCCGACAGTGGCTCTGCCTTTGCACAGTTCTGATTAAGCCTATCTCCAACCTTGCCCCAGCCTGACCTGGTTCAGCTCTTATCTCACTTGTCTCCTCGGTCCCACCCAGCCCTGACAGCACCCCAGCCTTGGACCCGACCCCACACCAGTTCTCCCACAGACCTGAACTCCCAAGGCCCAGCCTCTAACGCCCCCCCCCCTCGCCGCAGCCCCGCCCCACCCCTGCCCCGTATTAAATTTGATAGGGCCCTGACCCTGCCGATGGCTCCGCCCCGAGTCAGTTCTGACTGGGCCCTGCCCGCAGTCCAGCCCTGACCCCGCCCCCGGGCCGGCCCCGGCCCCGCCCCCGCCACAGGGTCCCAAGGCAGCGCACCTGCAACTCCTCGAAGGCATCGTCGATGCCAGTGACCTGGTGCTGCTCGTGCAGCGCCGGCTCGTCGCAGAAGAAACAGAGCAGCGCGCGGTCCGTAAGGCAGAAGAGTTTGACCTTGTCGTGCGCCTGGCAGGGTCGCGAGGCGCGGCGCGCGTTAAGGATCGCATCCAGAGGGAAGGCGCTGTAGCGCTCCACGATGTTGGCCAGCTTGAGGCTGGGCGCGAGCGCGGGCTCGGCGAAAGTGCGCCGGCACTCGGGGCAGTCGCGGGCGCCCTGCGCCTCCTGCCGCACCCAGTGTTCGGTGATGCAGCGGCGGCAGAAGTAGTGCTCGCAGCCCAGGCTCACGGGGTCCTGGTAAATGCTCAGGCAAATGGAGCAAAGCAGCTCATCCTTGAGGCTGCACGCCATGACGCCAGAGGCTGCGGAGCGGGGGTCTCGAGAAGCAGGGGGGCGACTGAGAGAGCGCGATGTTGATGGGGGCAGCACGGAGGAATGTGTGCGGGGACGAGGCCCAGAGAGGCTAGGGTAGGAGCTACCAGAGATGGAAAGGGATGTTGTTCGGGGTAACGAGGATAAAGGGGTGCGAGGGGCAGGAGCTACCAGGGATGCGAGCCGAGGAGAGTGGTCTTGAGGTAGTGGGAAACCCACAGTGATGGGTGCTGGTGGGAGAGGGCCGTGGATGACTGAGGGGAGGGGCTCCAGGCGAGGAGGTTCTAGGGGAGGGGACAGTCCGAAGGGATGGGTGCTAGGAGAAGGGAATCCAGGAGGGGGGCGGAGGCCCTGGGGGGCTAGAAATCCCAGGATGGGGGTGGTGGGGGGAGGGGGAGAAGACCGAGGTGGGTGGTTGTGGGAGGGGGGAAAGCCAGGCCCAGTCGCACGGCAGCGGTGCCAGGCAGAGCAGAGGAGGGATACGGGTCCACTCAGTGGTCTGGTCCCGGCCCCAAGCCCGGGCCTCCAGCGGCCCCTTACCCTAGGCGGCTCAGCTGCCACCGCTCCGGTCCCAGTACAGCCTCCCAAACCGGAACCAGCAGAGCCCCAGCAGCCGGCGGCCAAAGCTCCCTCCCCGCCCCTGTGGGCGGAGCCCTCATGACTCCTCCCCCGCGGTGGGCGGGGGGAGAGGGGGCGGGCCTCCAGTCTGATGAACCACCCCCTCCGGTCTTCTCCTCTACCCATCCTTTTGCTCCCTGGGGAGCAAAACCCTTCCAACAGCATCTAAGACTCGCTTGGGTCCCAGCGGTGGGTGGGGGGCTGCTAGTGTGAGGAGAAAAAGAGTAAAGAGGAGCATCTTCCTGGATCATTGCTTTGGAAATGTGAGGAAAATAATGTTTTATATTAAAATAAACAAGGATTTGTCACGTAATCTGCACAAAATACCTTTTGCGTAAAATGTGCAGATAAAACTAGAGAAATGATTGCTTAGAGCAAGTTCAAGTCTCCGTACACTCCCAGGCCCTGGTATTCCATTTTCTTTTTGCTTTCTTCAAGGGTGCTTGGGAGAGAAGTGTGGAAAGCCCTGATCCTAGCTTATGTCTGACCCAAGGAGTCCATTCCATGCAACAAACATCGCTGGAGTGTTATGTTTGTGTGGCGGTGAGGGTGGGTACGAGGTGGAGCAGAAGGGAGAAAGGGTAACAGGAGACCTTGTCTTGCGTGCCAGATGGAGAGGGCATAGGGGATTTCTAGGCAGAGGGGCAGCATGTGCAAAAGCATAGAGGCGTGAAAGGGGAGGACACACTTGGGGGAAGTGCAAGTAGTTCTGTACTGTTGGGGGTGGGGTGGAAAGGGATTTGGAATGAGGTGGAAGGCCTGGAGGGTTACAGTTAAGAATTTCTTGAAGACATTGGACTTCTAAGCAGGGGAGTGACCTGGTCAGATTTGGGTTTCAGGAAGTCACAGAGATGCTGATTATACTACCAGCAAGGTGCAGACAGGAGTCCTTTCTGATGTGTCTGCATATGCAAAGTGCCTGATACCCAATGAAGATGTGTAGCTGAATCAGCAGAGAAGACTTGGAATGCAGCTGCAGGACTAGATACCAGTTAGAAGCTGTTGTCATAGTCCATGCAGGAAGCAAGACCTGAACTGGGACCATGACATGGATAAGGAGAGAAACCCAGGGTACTGAGAGTATAGACACTGTACAATTTAGTGATGGGTTGATGTGAAAGAAGGAAGCATTGAGGGTGGCTCTCCATTTTCTGCCTCCTCCAAAAATATCTTCTGTGAACTATTTGTTGAGGTACAATTTAAGAAACAATTCTAAGCTTTAGTCCTTTGCTGTTTACATGTTCTCTGTCACACCTAGTCCATTGTCTCCATTTTTACTAGAAACAAGTTGGTTGCTCATCCACCATCCATTCCCCAACTTTTCCATGCAATTGCAATTTTGTTCAGTTGTCCCTCTCCCCCATGTGACCAACAGAGGGCTGACCCCAGCCCAGTTCCAGGCGTAAGTCCTGTTTTGTCCAAGTCTATCTTGATGGTCTCATTCCTCTTGTCAGTGATGGTTTGGTCATGGACGTGTACTGCAGGTCTGGCTTGCAAAACTAGAGGGGGAGCCTATGGTGAAGAGAGGTAAGGGGACAGGTTCTGGAAAGGGCCTCTTCACTTTCAAAAGCAGTCTGCCCCTTTTGTGGGGTGTGAATGTGTTTGCTAGAGATGTTGTTGGAGAAGGTTCTACAGTTGTGCAGCCTGGAACAGGGCCAAATCTGGGTCTTCATTTCTATCCAGTGATCTTTATAAATAGTCCAGCTTTGTTCCCTCTCTCAGTCTCTCTCTCATCAGCCCCATAGAGATACCCCTCCTCCTTTCTCAGTGGGTGACCCTGCCTCCCACTCCGTCAAGAAAGTAGAGCCTCTCCAGGGGGTCTTCTCAACTTCTAATTCCCATCAGCCTGTCTACTTAGCTATAGAAATGCCTAAGTCCTTTGTGAAATGAGGCAGAATGTAAAATAAACAAATGGGTGAAGTGAATGCATTTATAACTTCATTTATCTTTACCTCCTTTCTTCTGGTCTCAGAGGATGAAGTGTGCCTTCTGTTCAAGACTAATTCCTCCTCCTGGGCCCTAGTCTAATCCCCTCAGGCCTCCTTGAGACCTGACTCCCTCAATTATCCCCCCTTGACTATATTTTTGTCTCCTTCCTCATCATTGGCTACTTTTCTCCAGTCTATAAACATGCTCAAGTTTCTCTTAAAACAACACTCTCTACGGCACACACACGCGCGCGCGCGCACACACACACACACACACACAATCTTTAGCTACCATCTCATTTCTTGCCTTTTTCTAGCCTAGCTTCTTGAAGGAATTTCTGCACATCCTCCCCTGCCATTCATCAGCCCACTGCCACTAGTCCCCACCACTGCATTGAACTCACTAATACTCTCCTAATTGCCAATTAAAAATAGCTTGTAGTGCACAGTTGCTGCTGCAGAAAAACAAAATAAAGAGAAAAATCAAAGAAATTTGAAATATTCATTATTCTACTAATCAGAAAGATCTATTGTTGATACTTGGTTTATATCCTTATAGACTTTTCTCACATATTAAATATGCCTACATACATACACACATACACACACATACAGGGTTGGGAGAGAGAAAGGGGGGAAGAGAGAGAGATTTTAATATAAATTAGTTCACTGTCTGAGTTAGTGTTTCCCAAAGCATGGTCCTTGAATGACATGTATCTTAGCATGGGTTTTTCTAGGAGCTGACCTTGAGATAAGGATTGGAGTGAAAATGCTGTATTTGGGAAATGCAAGTAATGCTATTAGGGAAGTGGGAAATTGATATAGGGAAAGGAAAGTAGCCCTGTAAGGGTGCACTGTTAAGTCAGCTATCAGAAAAACAGAAGTCACTCATGTCACTTCAGTGATATATTTCTTTGCCTGCTGGCCTACTGGTATGAGAAGCTCAAAATTATCAGATGGCAGTAAAACCCACTCCCTGGTTATAGTCCTTTCCCTACTTTTTGGCAACTGTAACCTCTAGTTCAATAGAGATTGAAGCTACATGGATGGAAAGCACAAATTCACCAAATATGTCATTGGGAATAAAGGTGAGAGGAGCCACATCCTTGGCTACTAGACCCATGTCAGGGATACCTGACAGGGATACAACGTATATATGATTGCCATTGGCTCAGAGTGTGTACATACATCTTAAGGATAGCATCTCAATCCTGTCTGCAAACTTATGCCTTCATGTGGCCATTCCAACATTCTCCCAACATGTTAGTTTCTGGGTAGTATAAGGTAGGACAATGGATATCATGATCGTGTGCTCATTGTTATACATCCTCCAGGGTCACGTGAGCCCTTAGACAGTGGTGCTACCCAAGACATTGTAGACAGAGAAGGTAAACCTTTACCCCGAATATATATCAATCCTGTGAGAAGAATCACAGCCCCTTCAGGGTAGTTGAGTCTAATGTAATCAACGTGTCACCTCTGTCTGGGTTATCTCCTTGAAGGATAGTACCATATCAAGAACTCAGCATCATCTTTGTTTTGACAGATTGGATATTTAGTAGTGGCATAGATCAGTAATGGTCACAGGGAGCTCATGTTGTTGGGTCCATGCTTGGCTTTCATCCTTGCCACAATGCCTTCTCAGTTCATGGGTCCATTGGGCTAGCTCTGGGATGGCTGAGGAGAAAGGTTAGCTTATTTCCACTGGATGATCACCCTATCAACCTAGCTGCTCAGTGCCCCCTCTGTGATGGGTACTCTCTGGTACACATTGACATGAGACAAAGATGTTTTGTATCTTCAACCAGAGGTTAATCCACATGCTTTTCCCTCAGATCTCTTAACTCCAGTTTTTCAATCTTGCACTTTGCAGATCCCTAATCAACCAGCCAGGAGGCTGTCGTTCAGACAGAACAAGGGGACACTACATGGTTTAAAATCAAAAAGGGAGTGCATCAGGGTTGTATCCTTTCTCCACACTTATTCAATCTATATGCTGAGCAAATAATCCGAGAAGCTGGACTATATGAAGAAAAACGTGGTATCAGGATTGGAGGAAGAATCATTAGCAACCTGAGATATGCAGATGATACAACTTTGCTTGCTGAAAGTGAGGATGACTTAAGGCACCTATTGATGAAGGTTGAAGAATACAGTCTGCAGTATGGATTACGTCTCAATATAAAGAAAACAAAATCCTCACAACTGGACCAATGAGCAGCATCACAATAAATGGAGAGAAGATTGAGGTTGTAAAAGAATTCACATTGCTTGGTTCTATAATCAATGCCAATGGAAGCAGCAGTCAGGACATTAGAGGACGTGTAGCATTGGGAAAGTCAACTGTGAAGGAACTGTATCAAGTGCTGAGGAGCAAGGATATCTCCTTGAGGACTAAGGTGCGCCTGACACAAGCCATGATATTTCCAATCG